CGATAAAAATAGAAGTCAAGTTATATTGCTCGTGTTCCGTCTTCGCACATTGCACTTTTTTGAACAACGGCAAATTATAGACTGCTGCCTCGGAGTTATTCCTCAGAACATTTTTGACACAAATTTTGGTTTGCGCTTTGGCGGTATATCTGTAAAATAATGTGCTTTCCAACTTTTTAACGAAAATAATTACCCGAAAAATATTGAAAGAAGTGTTGTAAGTGTTTCAAAACCCACCTCAGTTGTAAACAACATGCTCTCTCGTTTGATTTTTTCGTACAAATTTGCGTTGTAATTAAGGATAAAGATGAGTTCAAATGTTTAAACGAGAATACAGTATATACCTCTAGAAACAGATGACATGAGAAAGATAGAACATACGAGGTTGCTGCTGAAGATCTTTTTAGTATAAGTTTGATTTTCCATTCACTATAGATTACTTTTGTCGAAGAGTCCCCAGAAAAAATACGGGCACCTTCGGACTTGGGGGGGGGGGGGGGGGGGGGGGGGGGGGGGGGGGAGACTCCCATATAAAGAGGAAGAGGGTGCTTGTCAGAAATTTTGAAAAGAACCCCTAAGAGGTATCAAGATCCTGTTTTGTGGGTGTGGCTTGAATTTTTTTCACCCCTAAGAGGAACCAATTCTAAAACAAAACATTATCTCCTGTCATTTTCATTTGGGCTCAATACCCTAAAAGGTAACATAGAAGCTCCCGCTGTGGATCTTTTGAGGCTGAACACCCTAAGAGATACCAAAACTGCTTTTTTGACCCCTAAAAGGTCTGACAAGTACCCCGGTCCTTTTTATTTTGGAGTTCCCCCGGGGCTCTAACCTGGATGCCACTCTTGGTCAGGAGTACAGTTCAGTAACCAAAGGGCCCCCACACCAGGTGGTACAACTGTATATATGGGTTATTGAGTGAGCATGAGGTCAAGATGGCTGGATATTGGCCAAGTTTCCTTTTTGTGTGTTAGGAGATCGAGACGGATTTGAGGTCTATAAACATGCACAAAAAGAACAAGGCCAACATCCAGCCATCTTGAAACATATAAAGGATTTATTATATATCACCAAAAAAAAAAACACAGTATTTTCTTCCGAGACACAGCAAGTAATCCCGTGAAGGCAAGGTAGCACCATCTTGCCTGTTCACATAGCCAATCACAGCACAGGATTTGCTTCATTTTACCTGTTCTCAGAGCTAGCCATACAATAATTCATTATCATGTAAACTTTATACTGAAGTGTGCATTTCACAAGTTATGGGCAGAATTTTTGTTGTGTCATACTCATATACCACAAATGAAAAAGAGGACATTACTTGTCTGTAATGCTATATAATTTTATCTTCAGTGACAAGTTCATCCCAATATCTTGCCTGTAAGTCGCAGAATCATGCTAGAGATGTAGATTCACCTTGCTTTATAAGTTCAAAGTATACCTTAAGTTGACTTGGCCTATGAAAGTTCTTTTTTTGGCATCACTAAGTTTTGTTCAATTTGAGACCTTTTTGCAAAAATGGACTTGATTCAGTCATGTCTGCTCCTAATGGAAAAAAGAAATGTACATCCTACCCTGAATAAAGCCCTGCTTTCCATGTCTAGGTGCAGTACACCTCTTGAACTCCCAAAATGTGGTAAACTGAACCAACAAATACGTACAAAATAAAATCACCTCTTGTTCCAAAAACTCTCTTAAATTCTCTACATCTGAATCATCAATCCCTTCATATGATGGCACTTCAATGACAGGGGCATCATCAGGGTATGTGTCTACATATGTGAACTGCAATGTTGCACAAACTGAAACATTGAGATATTCAAGACACACATTAAGCCTTTTTCTCTTAATATTCAAAATATTAAATTCTCCTGCATTATTGATATGGTAAAAAAAGTTGCAGGCCAAGCGACCTAGTGACCCAGTGACCTAGGGGTCCGAGCTAATCCTGGTTTCTGTAGCATGGAGGAAGTGGAAGTACAGTCTAACCTCCCATAAGCGACCACACAAAATGTCAAGCCTTGGTGGTCACTTACGGAAGGTGGTTGCTCACGAGAGCTTAGACCATATTGGGTCAACATTTTGCCTCATTAGCGTGTTTTAAATGTTTTATGTCATGTGAAAAAACAATTTCAAAAAAAACTTCCCAATTTCCATGTACAACCCAGGAATGTGATAATGCTACAACACCTTATTATCCAATTTTCGCTTTATTAGAGAGGTTAAGCAAGACATTAACGCCAGACGACAAAGACAACTTCTGATTTTGAGTTCTTTTCTTCTAATCCGTATAAAAGGCACACACAAATGGAATTAGATCTCCTCCTATTCAGTGCAAATACAAATAATTTCACTCTACTGTACACACAGCTGAAGAGAGAGAGCAAAAGTTTCATTTTTGCCATTTGCCACTTGCCATAAACGTCATGCTTAACCTCTCTATTATCTGTCAAGTGGTCACTTATGGGAGGTTAAAAACAAAAGAAAATTTCAAACCTTTAGCTCTAAAAGTGGTCTTGGTCACTTATGAGAGGTGGTCACTTGCTAGAGGTTCCAAATATAGTGATTTGGCTTGGAAACTTTTGGTAGTTTGGAGAACTGGTCGCTAAAGACAGGTGGTCGCAACCAGAGGTTTGACTGTGTTTCTACTGCCCCCTGGGTGAAATATTAGTCTGTTGCCAGAATTAAAGTCATGCAAGTGAAATTGTCTTCTATGCATGTGGTTGATGTTTTTGATCCACAGGCATGTGGCAAGCATAAAAAATATGTATGTGAGTTAGCAGGTATAGACGTAAGCCACATAGAAGATATTTCATGCTCCTCCACAGAGAACTTAAGACAATTTATAACATTTTTTTGTACTTGGCTTCTGATACTCATTATGCTCCCCTTTTGTAAATAAACCAGACATGAGCTTCACTAATTACCTCTACAGTCTTCATCTTCTGATTTCTCTGGTTCACAAGAAATTGAAACTTGGAAACAACATGGATCACTTTCAATCACTGGGAAATTGAAGTACGATAAAATAAGTCAATAATTTAAGCTTAATTAATGCTTACTTGTGTTAACATTGTATTTATTTTTTCCGCTGTCGCTACATGTCCGGCAGCTGGACAGGTTTCTTAAAATACTCCATGTTCGGCAGTGAGAAGTTAAGCAACGTAAAATGGACGTTTTGACAGCCGACCCCAAGAGGAATCGAACCCGGGTCGCCAGCCTGACAAGCGATACTGATGCCCACTGCGCCACCGCAACCAACCGGCAACTTTTGGAATTTTTTAAGTATTTATAGAGTTACCCTTAGCATCATTGAAAGCTAACCGTAAACAGGCTAACCGGAGAGCTATTTAGGCTAACCGGAGTGCTATTCAGGGTAACTGGAGTGCTTTTTAGGCTAACAGGAGTGCTTTTTAGGTTAACCAGAGTGCTTTTTAGGCTAACCGGAGTACTATTCAAACGTTTTGACGACCAGTTATTTTATAATAGTCTACGTTATAAATCCCGATATACCGAGTGCCAGGCTAACCAAAATTAGTATTCGGCAATATCAACAAAGATTTGACATTATTAACTGAAATTTTAAAAAAATAATTTTGACTGCCGGACACGGAGTACTTTGAAAACCCTGTCCGGCTGCCGGACATAGAGACACAGCGAACCAAATAAGACAAATTAAAGGATGATCATACACAACAACCTTCACAAGAATTCACTAATACATTTCTATTAAAAATTAAAAAAATAACTATATCGGAAGCAAAACAAACAGTTAGATTACAAAATCAACCAGAGCTGAAGTCTTTGATAAGATTGATACTCACGGGAAAATTCCTCCGGATAGATTGAATTTAGAGCTTCTAGTTCAAGCTCTTGCTCCTCTTTGTGGTCTGTCATGACATTAAATTAATTTGCAAATCCTCTCTAGTCCAAATAACGTGTATAATATTCAAACCATTTCACATGTTCAGATGGCAAAAAAAATATCTTTACTATTGAAAATTGTCCGCCATGTTGATTTTTTGGCGACATGTGCAGACCTCGTTTTCACGTTGTCACGATTTCTTACTGGGAGTGACAGCCCGACACAATTATTCTGACAGTCCATAGAAAATGGTATTTCACAAAATGCGATAAACTTTATCCACTGTTCTTCAGAAAAAAAAAACTTCAAGCAGAAAATCAAATAATACGCACTAGTGCTTTTAATTGTCTGACTTTCAAAAGAAAAATTAACTGAATTGCTGTATTTCATTTACTTACCGGACCCCGGGAAGTGATTTCTTGTCATGTGTTTCCCATCTTGCCTTGCAGGAAGTAATGCAGTTGCATATGGCGATTTTTGTTATGACATGACAGGCGAATTTCGATTCTAAACTAGCTGAATTTTCATACTAACTATGGCGGAAAATGAAGAAGGTAATGGTCAGAATCACGCTTAAACCTTCCTGCATATGTTGAGCTTATTTATTTCTGCATTTGTTGCAGGGAGCAAGAGAAAAATCGAAGAAGAAGTGGACGCCACACAGGCTGCACCAAAGCGAGTAAGCACGCCTTCCGTCTTTCGATTCTTTTTACAATCTGCGCAGGAGTTTCCGAATTAATTTTGGGGCGGATTGTATGCAAAAAAGTTTTAAAGAAATTTGTTTTCCAGGTACGACTTCAATCGCAAGATCTGACGGACTTGTCGAAGGAGGACATTGTGGAAAGGTTAGTATCTTCATGACAGCTAAGATTGATCAGTTTTGCTCTTACGCGGAACTTTACCATGCTTTCACTTACAATTTGTTCCGTTAATTAACCGATCCTTGAGCCTTTCTTTATAGCTTTACTTTTATTTCAGTCACGAACGTAGTTTAGAAAGGCTATGATTGATACACGTATTGCAGATATAGATCAGGCTGGTGAATTTACAACTGATAACGGTCGCAAATGATACTGGAGAAGCAATCTGGACTTCTTTATAATTTTAAATTTTAGAGTTTGACGTCAAGTTATGTTCATAATTTGCGGCGAGAAAATTGGTGACTTCCAAATTCATTAGCTATTTATTTAGTAAAAGGAACGAAAAAAAAATGGTGAGAGCTAAGCCGCGAAAGTTACATCTTGGCCGTGAAAGTAATGCATAAGACAGACTTACATTGTATGACATGGGGAATCTTACTAAGTTTACATACAAAGCAGTGGTGGTGGTGTTTTATAAATCATGCTGTATTTTTGTTTATCAAAATGGAAAGCCATTGGCCCAGTCTAAACACAAGGGAAAAGTTAAAATGTACATTATTAGACAGTTTTAAGGTTACTGTATACCTCTGAATAGTTTCTATTTGCATAAGCCAAACAATGACCAATCACAGACACTTTCCAGATATCTGCACAGCTATAGCGTCACTATTAGGTGTCTTACATCCAGGCAATGGAGTAGGTCCTGTTTAAATTATAGATACCTAAACCCCGATATCAAATTAAAGCTTTTAGAGCTGGCTATCAAACTATGCCAAGAATTTTGAAATAAGATGAATTGCTAAATTTTTT